AGAGAGAGAGAGAGAGAGAGATAATATCTTGCCCACAGAAAAATGGGAAGCACATTGGATTGTCACTGCTGATTCATATTTTTGTCAATTTGTCAGGGTTATCCAGATCAGGATAACTGACATTCTGCCAAACCCTACACGTGGGATTGGACTTTTCCACACTTACTAAAACAAAGCGTGCATTGGTTTGTTGCAATTCTACAGTGTAGCAAGTAAATAGAATTGTAATTTCTATTTCTCCTTCGGCCCCTGGTAAAATTTTGATAAGGATTTAAGTTAAAGTCAACGGTTAATCCTCTCAATTTTTATCAATTTTGTAATTAAATGTCATCAATTTCTATTAAAATATATTAAAAATTTTATTTAAGGTACACCAACTATTACATAATGTATAAAACACTTGTCGACAGTATTGACCTTGTTCAATTTGCGAACGAAAGGTTAATTACGATAAATAAAATTTTAGCTTATTTTCGTTATGGTATTTGCTGTCAAATGTTTATATCGCATTACAAGATCATAAATCATCGTGTTGATCCAAAGGCCAAAGCTCTTAATCAAAAAGACAAAACCGCCACCATCTCTCTGCCCCTGACCGTATATAAAATCTGTTTCGCACTCGCAGAAAAAAATAAACTCTCTCTGTAAGATCAAGAAAATATCAGTTTCGCTTTCGAAGAAAAGATGTTGGCCATATTTCACCAGGCATTTGCTCATCCACCTGAAGAGCTAAACAGCCCTGCATCTCTCAAAAGTTCAAAGAAGCCTAAATTACCAGATGAAACTCTCCAAGAATTCCTTTCTTCTCACCCTAATAACACTTCCTCTATGAGTTTTGGGGATGCTGCTGTCCTTGCTTATGTCCGACCTGATCACCATTCTCTTTTTCATCAGAACCAGAGGTATATATACGTGTATACATTCGTATACAAGTGTTTTTATGCTTGAGGAAATTTTCAACATTTTTTATGGGTTTTTGTTGGCAGGTTGTTTTGTGGGTATGATGATATATATTGCCTTTTCATGGGGAGTTTGAACAATTTGTGTGCTCAGATTAAGCAGTATGGATTAGCAAGAAATGCAAATGAGGCCATGCTTGTGATTGAAGCTTATAGAACACTTCGGGACCGTGGTCCTTACCCAGCTGATCAGGTTATTAAGGATCTTGATGGGAGCTTTGCCTTTGTTGTCTATGATAGCAGAGTTGGGACTGTTTTTACAGCACTGGTATTTGGCCCATCTTGTAAATTTTATTACACCGTCACATAGATAAGATTTAGCTTCTTTCTGTACAATTTCGATTATGATTTCAGGGTTCTGATGGTGGAGTTAAGTTGTATTGGGGCATAGCTGCAGATGGTTCTGTGGTGATTTCTGATGATTTAGAGGCGATTAAAGAAAGCTGTGCTAAATCTTTTGCACCATTCCCAGCAGGTATTGGTACAGAATCTCAACATAAGAGTTGCATAATTAATTGATAATTCAAGAGAATTAATAGGATTGATTTTGTGGATACAGGGTGCATATTTCACAGTGAGGGAGGATTAATGAGTTTTGAGCACCCAATGAATAAGCTAAGGGCAATGCCAAGGGTGGACAGTGAAGGTGTGGTGTGTGGGGCTAATTTCAAAATTGATCATTATGCTAGGGTTGATAGCATTCCTCGAGTTGGAAGTGAAGCCAATTGGGCAGAATGGAATTTTCATGAACCCTAATCCATCAATTTCTTTTCCACTCTGTTTTGTTATTTTGGAGTATTTGATCTTTCTTTGTTTTCTGGCCAAGAAATGAGCACAGATGTACAAAAAATAATCTGAAACTTGATTTTGGTTTAAGCTTACAGTCCCTGTAATTTGTTAATCCAATCTTTATGTTCATGAATGTTACCTGCAATTTATGTTCCAATCATAGCAAACTAAACAAGAGAAAGATTAGTGATTTTATTATTGATTCAAACTTTAATGTCACAAGTTGAGTTTTCTTTTTCCATTACAACTGCAAGCATTCAAACCAAAATCTTCGCCTATGGCACCAATGATTAGTGAACGAAGTGACTGAGGATTACCCTTCAAGCCAAGCCAACTAGTTTCTCACTGATTTCCCATACTTTACGAGCTTTATCGGCATTACTGGCTTCTTGAGACAACTGGTTCTCGAATGAAGCCGAATCCTTGTTCCAACTCCAGTAAACTCCTGACTTTGTTAAACTTGGATCACTTACAACCTACATCAGAAGAAATAAGATTTTCGAGGATCTAAGGCCACACGCAAGATTGCATCACGAGATGGATCAAAATACATGTATACAAAGTTATGTTTTTATTGTAGCCCAATGTTTTGATTCATTTTCAGTTTTTAGCCTTGGATCACTAGATCGTTACTATTGTAATGTTTGTTGTGTAAGCCCGTGTATGCCCGGAGTACTTACATATTTACATTTACTGACCAAAAAAAGATATATAAGTTTATGCTTCACACAAATTACATGGTTGTTGTCTTTTGTACCTGTGCAAGCCTGTTTCCGGCTTCTTCCTCTGAGACGAACCCCTTGGTGATGAACTTTTGAAATGGAGGGAAAAGAAGCCTAAACAAGGGGATGTGCTCCCTAAACAGGCCTGTTGTGGCAATGCAACCGGGGTACAGGGAAGCAAATGTGATCCCAGTTTCTTCATGGTAACGACGGTGAAACTCTTGCATTGTTAGCATATTGCACACCTTGCTATCCTTGTACGCCTTTGCTCCATCGAAATCTCCACCGTCAATCATGGACGAGGTGTTTAATCCATTCAATCCCCCTTGGAGGCCCCTCAAATCCCCAAGATTCGCCTTTGGAGGTACGTTTCCAGCCAGTGTATTTGTATTCCCTGATATACATCTATGTACTTATTGCTGGTAATAGAGGCATTGTCTAGATCAATTATGCACTAATGATTATGTTATACCTGTAATTGAGCCAACAATTATGAGTCTCTTCGATGGATAATCAGACTGCTTCATGTCATCGAGCAACAATCTTGAAAGAAGAAAATGACCAAGATGGTTAGTCCCAACACTGAGCTCAAACCCATCAGCTGTGAATGAAGGTTCCCTAGCAGTTGGCTGATAGACAGCAGCATTGCAGACCAAGACGTCGAGGGGTCGGCTAGATTGCTTGAAGTTTTCGACAAACTGCCTCACACTGTCAAAGGAAGCAAGGTCTAAATGCATAATTGTGTAATTTTCCTTAGACATTCCAACTGACTTTGCTGCCCTCTCAGCCTTGAGGAAGTCCCTGCACGCCATAATTACGTGCCATTTTCCGGTTTCAGCCAGAGCTTTTGCCGTCGCCAGGCCTAATCCGGAGGAGGCTCCAGTGATCACCACAGTGCCCTTTCTTAGTGTTTTCTTCTTTTGAACTGTCGCAGGGGTGAAAACTGGAGAGGTAGCCACTGCCTCAGCTCTGATAGCCCCGACGGACAACTTCCTAGAAATGAATTCTCTCTGCAAGAAATGCAATCTCCATTAATAATCTTGAATCTTGATTCATCAAGTCGATGTACATTATTCAGCTGGAGATGGAAATTTATACCTTGTCAGCCTTGACATGGTCTGAGATTGAAATTCCAAAGAGGTTAGAGTCCTTGAAAGATGCACTATTTTTTCCCTGTGAAAAGTACCAGAATTAATCAAAAATCAAGATGGCAAGCATTAAATTAAAGGCTTGTACACAAAAAGCGATGGCAACGAACCTCTTTTTGAATGGCAAATGCAGAGGGGAGAATGGCAGCAGCCTGTAGAGCCATGGAATTTCAATTTGATAGTATTAGATGTTTCTTTGATACAAATCTAAATATCAATTGATACTTTTTGGTGGATGCATATATATGAAAATGTTGGCTGATATATGACAAAATGGACAGAACTTTCGGATATGAAATGCAGCAAGGATAAGATAATTTTCTGTGGACACATACGCCACATCAACTACAAGGAACCAATCAGATTTTGTAGTTCAGATTTCCTCTGATATATTTATTAGAAGATAAAAGAGTTCCACTCCTACAGTTATGGGCCTGGGATGGAGAAATTTACCTAGGATAATGTTTGATGGGAACATTTTCGTGCAAAGAGAGGATAAAATGGTCGAAAAAATCGTCTTGTTCATTGGTCAAGTCATATCGATGCTGCATTTGGTATGTACACCGAAGGTTAATAGGATAAACTGAATCGCACACCGGTGGACCCACATGGGGTCCGTCATCCATTTCTCATCATTGGGGTTTGTGTTGTAATTGTATTTGGAAGAGTGCTACCTGCATAGGCTCTGTTGCACAGGGCTTCCCCTCTTGTATTTGAGGCTTGTGTTGCTTGGTTTTTGGTGAAAGCAGATAAAGTATGTAATTTGTAATCTGTACTGCACTGTTGTAAGCCATTCTTAAGGCACCAGACAAGACCAAAATAAGACGCTCAAGCACAAACTAAAGCCTTCTACCCTTGAAGTGTGTGTGTGTTCGAAAAAAAAAAATTAATAATAATAATAATAAAAAATCAAATAAAATAAAAATAAGTAAATAGATAAACTCATGAATGCAAATAGTGCAACGGACTGACTTCAATTGTAGTAGTATATTGATTTATTTTCATTAATGTTATGTTATTTAAAAAAAAAAATTGGATTTTTAAATTGTTGAACCCACAATACATGGTCTGCTTCCAACCCTTGAAACACAATAGGCTAAAGAGAGGTGAAAGGTCTATGAAAAATGTCGATTACAAATACAGGGAGCCTATTTCAAATTATGTTGGATGAATTTGATGAAAAATACAGGAAACTATACCACAACCAGTTTATATGTACAACTGTTGGAATAGAATCATATCTTCACTCCACAATTTCCTATTACAGACAATCAATCGGTTTCTAAACTCAATGTTTAATGTCTTTACATTTTTTTTTTTTTCATTTGTCTTTTCGATCATGAGAAATTTACTTCTTATCAGTGCCCTCTGGAAGGCTTTCGAGCCACAGATGCAACTGTCACAAGAAGAAAAAAATAGAGAACTGGCTAATCTTTGCCCATCTCACCAAATATCTGTACAATTTTTGCAAATTTTGAGGTGTAAAAATCTGTAGGCCACTCCTAGAGAATTCTTTGCCTCCTAATTTCGAAGGGGCAACCCAAAATTCTGGAAAGTCCTAATTTTTCCTCTGAGGCCTGCAGTTACAATTACCATCCCCCATGCCGACCTGTTTTGGTGTAACCAGTTGGACAAATCAGCATTAACTCGAGGGCTAGTGTTCTTGGTGGCCGAAAGAAATTTATCATCCGGCCACATAACTGAGAATCTATCAAAGAGGTAGCTCTTTGTATCACTAGAAATCATGCCATTAAGTGGACTACTGTTGTTGACTAATGCCAATGGTGAGCTCTCGCTATCATTAGGTTCTTCGACTGGAGTAGGCGGGTGGTTGGCTGTTGAAACCTCCTCGAAATTATCAATAGAACTGCTTTGAACTCCAAAGCAAGTGTCATGTAATTCCCATGCGTCACACATTCCAGGCCAAGGGATTGCAACTGATACATCTTGACAGTGAAAATGCTCATAAGAGTGGGTCACAGTAACACCTTTGCTTCTGTTTGGTTGGGATTCAACTTCGTGTCTCCAGATATATACATAAGAATCCTCACTAGCAGAGATCACATATTTTCCATTAGCTGTTAGGGAGGCTGAGATTTGGCTATTTGAGTTACGAAACCCTGCAAGAAATTACCAACCATAAGAGTCCCAACTTTTCAAAATAAAATCAATTGTCATGATTGGGTAAAAGCAATGATAAATGTCAGCATAATAATTGTGGCACAGCTTAACTTTGTCAACTGGATCACAAATTCAGACAATTCTCCTTAGACGAATTCTACTTACGTAAAAAACTGGCCCCCAACAAAGGGAACATGTGGAGGAAACATGTATCAGTCATATTAAAATGAATTCCAATCATAGTAATTAATTGTGATTAGATTCTAAAATCCAAGGTAAGAAAATGTTGAAAACAGACCCAGGAAATTAATCTCTCTTTTCATCTTCCCATAAAATGATGGAACCCTGCTGTGTGTACAGGCAGGCTTCATACAGAAGCCTGCCAGAACACACACAGGGGGCGTATGTGGGGGTATTTTTTGGTAATTTTTTATTCACGGTAGGTCCCACACATGAGAGTAATCTGGCCAAATTCTGTGGAAAATTTTCTGTACAAAGGGCATTCTTCTAAATAAATTTCTGAACAAAATTGGGAACGAGATACTGTGTCCTGCTTTCTGTAATTAGGAGGAGCGTTTTCAAATGTCTGCATCCTCCTTTTTGAATGATGATGTGTCCAATCTCTCCAATTACACACTGAAGTATACAATTTACATGATGTCATCCATTTCTGGTACCCAGAACTGTGCTCCTAAGAGGTCCACGGTCCACCGAAAACAAAAAAATGCACCTAATTTTTTATTTTTTTTAAAACAAAAAAGGAAAAAAAATTGCCTAGTCTAACTAGGACCTCAATATTCCGAATACTAAATTTTATCAGTAATATTCATGGATCAGATATAGCAGAAGAAAACAGTAGCCTGACAACAACTACCATGCAGGACACAGATTTGGAATCACATGTAACATAAAAACAAAAGGAAAAGAAAATAAATTAAGGAAATAATCAAGTTACACTCTATAAGATATTAACATCTTCAGGTGTTAACAACCATGATAACTGACATCAACAGCTTTTTCAAAATTACTCGTAGTAAGAAAATAAATCAAAACAAACCATCAAGAGTCCCCCAAGAAGGAAAATAACCTAGATTAATATTTCATAAGATTCACATTACATGTGGTCAGAGAATACAGGACATCGCAGGTTAATGTGCAGTTTCGCGATCTGACAAGGAAAACACTAGGATACAATTGCCAACAGAAAGTAGCAAATTAAAATATATTCGGTCACTAAAGCACTTTTTTCAAAATTGGTTGGTTGCAAAGCTAAGGCACTTTTTTCAAAATTGGTTGCAAAGCTGTGTGGAAAACAGAGTGTAGCCACAATAAACCACGCTCATTCCCCACCCCCACCCCAACCAAAAAATAAAAAAAAATAAAAAAATAAAAATAAAAAGGAGCTTATGTTATGGTTCTCACACCTTCTTGTTGGCCTGCTTTATTTCTAAACAGATTCCTTACTTTCCTAAATGTATGACATTATAAAGAAAGATAAAGGTGACTCACTGCAACTAGTACACCATATATTAAATCCTAAATGTCAGAACAAAACACTAGAACTTAGGAGGAAAAACTTTCCTTCAACCAAAATCAAAACTGCAAACACCAAAACTGAACAGAGTTCAATAATTAGAATAATCATGTCAGCAGTTCAAAATTTTTTCAAAATTAGAACCTTCACGAATGTCCATAATAAGCACATAGACACTAAGAATAGACTGATTTGTCAAAATCTTCGCATGCTTAGTAATCAATGATACCAAGCTTCACAATTATAACCATCTAAAAAAATTTAAGAAAACCTCATTGCTACCTTCAAAAATTTACAGAATCTTATACAGTACACTAGCATACCTTTGAACTTGTGAACCAGATCAACACCCTCTATAACTCGAACTCGTGAATCTCCAGATGTAATAAGCACTTCTGATGTACTTCCTGGTGCAAACTGATTGATGAAAGCCATATAAGCATAAGAAGAGGTTGGTTTTCACTTGCATTTCACAATTATAAGAACATCACTGTAATGCCAAAAAACTATTGTCCCCTGAAGGAAAGAAAGTGTTGTACGCCACCCAACACCAATAATGTCTTCCCTCTTACATAAGGTGCATGTACTGCAATTAGTCAATGAATTGATTACCTGGAAACCGGTAATTTTCTTTTGATGAGATTTCTTCTTATTCTGCAGATTGATCTGGCTTTTTTGCTGGAATTTATTATCTGGAAATAGAATGATGCATGAATAACTAGTTTACAATGAACTGAATCTCATCTTTCTTCATGAAGCTATTATTCATACCTGATGTGTCGTATAAGCAACAACTTCCCTTGTATGATCCAACTAGCGCACCCTTCATCAATTAACAAACACGGACTTTAAGTCCAACTGAAACACGTGCATAGGGAAAACAACTTTGCATATCTGGAAGGACAACACAAAATCAAGTAGTAACTATAATACAATGTATGCCCAACCTGGCCATCAGGTGTATAGCAAGCTGCAGTGACCATTTCATGTAAATCATTCCAATCAACAACTTGGTGATCAGGAATGCTCCATATGCGCACCTTAGCATCTAGGGATCCACTGATGAAGTATCTATCATCAACAGGATTAAACTGGATGCAGGTTACTGTGTCAAGAGAATCCAGACTACTTATCAGTGATGAATTTATGTCATCTATTTATAGAGTTAATGATATTAACATGCCAAAAGAATCCCTGATATAAAACTACAACTAAACAAGCGGATTTATGAAACTAATGTGTAAAATAGGAATCGGTCTAAATATTCATATGCAAAAATCATCAATATACTAAAACTGTCATAATACCATCTCATCACTAGGCGAGTAACTGAAACTCTCAAGCCACAGACCGTTTTGCTCTTTTTTTTGAATAAAAATTACCCTCTAAAATAAATATTCATGTTTGAACCAATTGTTAATAATTCATTACTATCATTTGCCAACCAAATTTCCAGTCTCTTAAAGCTTTTCTCATGTTCTGTTGATCCCAAAAAGATATGAAATCAAACATTGATCTTAGGCAACCTTGTAGCCGGCATGTTTCCTACGACTTTTCTGTTAGTTCATTTCATGTTGTATAAACAATAATACAAACTTATGTACAAGACTTTGAGAGGAAAAATTCATGATCCTTTCACACAATTATAACATAGGGTTAGGATCATTCCAATATTTATTAACTTCTGTAAAAGTGTCATTTCCATGAACAAGAGGTTCCCACAATAAATCCCAGTCCTATCCTCACGACCTCAATAGGAACTGTGGGCACTCACCTCTCAGAAGTTAAGAATTTTTAGCTAAGGGATACAGGCAATTACCATAGTCACTGTGTGCAAAGATCTTTAAACAAGAATTGCTAGACAAGTCCCATAGCCTCACAGTTTTGTCCATTGAAGATGACAGCAGTTGCTGGAGAAGGAAGAAAACCATTAGCGAGATGTCTGGTGAAGACCTTACAAGTTCTTGACTTTAGTTAAAATGCATACAACGAATTTTTGCACAGGCCAAGATGAATAATGGCATGAAATAAAATCAAAATGTTTCTCCTAGAGATCAGGGCAAGTGCACTTTTAGAACAAATCAAACACGATCACTGGATGGAGGTCAGTAGTGATGCCAACAAACAAACCAAAAAAGGAACATTATAGTGTCATTCAATAATTACAACCGACAACCGTCAATTGGAAGATCACAGTGCAACTTGACCAATAAAAAAATGTTTAAAAAGGCGAAAATAAGTACTGAGGCGTTTTTCCAATATAAGTTATGCCTCACAACGACCAAAACTTTTTAGTAAAATAATACAAAAATAAGAAGCTTTTGAAGAATACAAAAATTAA